AGAATAACATGGTGCCATCATTGCTTATTTTGTTGGCTTCTCATCAGTTCAGGTGCTTGCTTACAGCCTAAATAAATTATTTTTAAGTTCATGTACAGAAAAGTTTCAACATACTTGCATATTTTAACTGGTATCCGTTGATAGAAGGTTCCACAATTAGTGAACATTGCTCAGAAAATTATGCTTATATAGTTTTTACACAGGGAGTTCAAGTTTCAACAAAATAAATGTATGTATGCATACAATGGTAAAGGGGTTACGTAATAAAGACGAGAGATGCGTAAGATGATGAGTAACTAATAAATTAGGTGACGATGTACTGAGTTCAACTCACGTCATAGAAACAAAGAGAAGCAAAATTACAGATTACTTACTCACCTCTCGTCTTTACTACTCAAATCCTTTACCATTGTATGCATACATTCATTTTCCTTAAACATGAACTGTCTGTGTAAAAATTATATAAGCGTAAATTTCTGAGCACTGTTCACTAATTACGGAACTTTCTGTCAACTGACAACATGTAAAATTTGCAAGTATGTTGAAACTTTTCTGTATATAAACCTACCTCATAATTTATTTAAGCTCTAAGCAGTTGAACTGATGAGAAGCCAACGAAATAAGCAATGATGGCACCATATTATTCTCCACAAACCGCCACTGTTGTTCCTACTTTATTCAAATTCATCAAGGGGAATGAATGAATGAATGAAGTTTGTCACAAATTGACTACTCCGCAATACCAGTCTGTACGTTATCGCCCGTTCTGTCTGTCTGTCTGTTTTCGACATAGAACTTTGCACAAATGTGCGGAAGTTCAAGTCGCCACACTCCGTGTAGCACGCGAAGCAAGAGAAGAAAGTACAAGAAAAGCATAATAGAAACAGTGAGCAGAGGTGTGAGACAAAGGAGGAGTAATAATGATGAACAAAACAATTTCATTGGAGATCATAAGTCACAAGGAGTGGATGCATCTGCGCCACTGAGAACGATTTTGAGCCATGTCACCAATTGTTTCCAACCATAGATTTTTACCGTCCCGAGGACCCCAACCAGGAAGCCAGTCTACACCTTCCTACGTGGCTTAGACCAACTGTTGTGGATTTCATTGACTGTGGTGCCAAGTTTTTGTTTGACCGCCGCTAGCTTTTTTCCAGCCTGACCCTATATCCGCTAACATTGCTCGTCGAGGGAGGCGATGACTAGGCATACGTAACACATGTCCTAACCATCTCAGTCTTTGTAACTTCACGACTTCGTCGATTGATTTCCCCTGTTTACCTAGAACTCGACGCCTAACTTCAATGTTGCTCACCTTATTATGCCACTTTACACGGGAAATAGAGCGCAGGCACCTATGATCAAAGACAGCTAGTCTTTTCATGTCTTCCACTCTCAGTGGCCAGGTCTCACAGCTAGCCATAAAGGAGGACGGAGCGGACTGATGAGCAGTACACCGCCCTTTGGTCGATAGTCGAACATCTCGTCTACGCCAGAGTCGGTGTAAACTGGCAAATGCGAAACGAGCCCGTTATATCTCATTAGCGCATATTAACACTCGGTCACACCATGATATCGGCAACGACACCATAACACACACACTTACTGCGGTATTTACGTCTTGACAGTGTCCCAGCCCTCGGGCAAAGTTAGACTTTAAGCACCACTAACTGCTAATCAGGGAATGACCTCGAACGCACCAGTATGTACGGAATACAAATATTTATGGAAAAAATGTATAAAAACTGTATATAAGTGTTACAGAGGATACCTTTCTCTCACATTTGATAAGAATAGCTCTCAGTTTGAGAGGTTAGAGTATCAACAGAGTATAAATTCCATTGTGGGTAAAATTTATTTTCATAAAGTCTCACAGTGTTGTGCAGTAATACATACTGAGCAAAAATTGTAATCAAAACGTCATCAATAAATATTACTGTATGACACTGTGTGAGACTTTATCAAAATAAATTTTACCCATAACGGAATTATACTCTACCGCCACAGTGCACTAGTTCTATTCTTATATCAACAGAGTAATTTAACCACATTCTATGCATGCAGTTGTTTAGGTCTTCTAACCTTAACAATAACCCTTATCTTTCCTAAACCCTAGCCCTAACGTGAGAATATCCCTAAACTAAGTGTAATCTAACTCGAACCAACCGTAATATCGCCTTCATTAGGTTAACCTAACCCTTACTTATCCTTGTCTTAAAGCGTAACTTAATCTTTCCCAAACACAAGCTGAAACTTGCCAGATATCCCATTGAAGAGTATAACACTTCGATTAGCATATTTTATTGATGATGACAACATTACTGGCCAGGTTTTCACAAACTTGCTCAGTGAGCGTTTCAAGGTCACTGGTGCGGTCGCACTCTATTGGTATTAGTTAGTGGTGCTTAAAGTTTAACTTGGCCGAAAATAATAATAATAGTAATACACCAGGGCTCGGAAAGTATTGAATAGTTTCCGGTCTTGCCATAATTACAGTTGAAAACTTAACACTTATAGTGAAGTCCTCAATAATACAAAAAATGGACAGTGGCCTGTCTCAATTCCTTAATTCATATCCTTTTTTTGTGTACTTTGATACTGTTTTTTAAAATTCTACTTAGTGATAGATGAATTTGAAAAGAAGAGTAGATCTCTGGAAGCAGTTGTGCTTCATAATTGTTCACATTACGTTCGTTTATGTGACTAATCAGTGGAATAATGACGTAATTACTACTGGGTCGTTTACAGTCTCCTGAGAACGTATTTTATCAAGAAAATGATTCCGTCAAAGTCCTCTTTCATAAATTGACCAGTTGTTGAAACCAAGCTACCAGGGGCTAGGTTTTTCATGTACAGGTCATTATTATTATTATTGTTTCCTTTAATTCCTAGAGGAACATAGGGCTTCAGCTGCGCGTCTCCATTGCGCTCGGTCCTCTGCCGGAGTTTTCACCTGGCGCCAAGTCTGCCCACATGTTTTCATCTCCTCTTCAGATAACTTCCTCCAAGTCACCCTTGTACTGACAACCAACTCGCCGCTTCCCTTTCGGGTTCCACTCGAGGGCTTATCTAGTGATGTCACTTGATGGTTTGTTCTCTCAGAGTATGGCCAATCCATCTCCATTTCTTCCTGTATATTTGTTGTACAATCGGTTCCTTGTTTGGTTGGCTCCCAGAGATCCCTATCGCTGATCTTTTCTGGTCATCTGAACTTGAGTAGTATTGAGCGAAGACAGCTGTTAATGAAGGTCTGTAGTTTGTTTGAGGTGCTATTTATGAGGCGCATAGTATAGTAGCACTGACTTCACATTAGAGTTGAAAATCCGGATCTTTATTTTGATGCTGAGTGCTGTTGACCCCCACACAGACTTGAGAGTAGTGGAAGCTTGTCTTGCTTTTCCAATCCTTGTGTACATTTTATGAGCCATACTTATTATTGTGCAAGGAATGACGAACCTACTGTCTGTTGCCCAGACTGGAGTGGATGGTGTATTGGCGTTTGCAAGTAGTTGATTAGTCTCAGGTTTCATCATGAACTGACATCAGTTAGAGAACTCTTGTGAAACGTACAGAGTGCTGGACATCTGTTTCATCTGAGTTCTGGACACTTTCCAGCAGTACACTCACCCAAGATCCCAGCAAAGGTCGAGTCCAGGACCCTGTGGGCTACATTGCGAGTTCGTTGATCATTCAACCCATGGGACGGAATCAAAACGTGGTGGTCGGGCTTGCACATGGCGATGACCCAACAAGCTGCACTGGCTGGAACCAATGTTCCTGTAGGTCCTACTGTGTCAGGAAGGTTGTTAGGATAGCGATTAGACTAAAAGCAGTTACCGGAATTGTGTAAGAATCTCTCTTACACTATGCTGGGGGTCTGTGGGCGCAGTCGTACTGCTGGGGAAATAGGGGTGTAGCAACAGTGAAGTGTTTCCCTCAGATGACCAGCATGCCAGCTATGCTGTCTGTCCACTTTATAGAGAGGGGATTAAAAAAGGTCGACCCCAAAAATTTTACATCCCGACTTACCCCACCTACGGTGGTCCGTAACCGGCAGTAAGTGTACTAATACGGAACCAATCCCGGAAACCAGTTCATACAGGCCGTGTGTGCGTGACCGGCCGGCATCAAGCACTTGTCCCCTGGACTCTGTGGGCACGCAACATTAACCATCTTTCTGTTTCAGGTACCTGAGAATCAACCAGACAGACGAAATCAAAATGGCTGACGAATTCTTACTTCCAATTCGCGATAGTTAGCTGAACAGTGAGTCAGTGTCATCGACCCATACACACCCAACTTAATGGACCCCTCTGGTCACGACTTCTTGTTAGAAACTCATCCTGTATTTACTCATCATGGAGCAATAGATTAATTTTCAAGTATTGGTTTGCGGGGAGTTAATAATTAATTTCAAGTTTTAAGTATTGGTTTTGCTGAGGAGTCCCAAACTGGGACGAAACAGCTGTCCAGTACTCCCAGGTTTTCCAGTGGTTCTCTAACTGATGTCAGCTCATGATTAAATCCTCCATACAATTTCAAGTTTGTTGACGAAATGGCTTCAATTGAAAAAGCATTAAAAACCACGTAGTAGTGAACAAATTGGCAGAAGTTAGAATTCATGGGCCGTCGGATTGACTGAAAGTGACCAACGCGCTTGCTTCGTAACCTGATGCTCCTTGGGTTCGGTTCTTACTGGTGGGGTCATGGGTGCGTACTACCGAAGAGTCCCAGACCGGGACGAAAAAACTGTCCAGTACTTCTTCGTTTTCACTATTTGTCTAAGGGATGTTAGTTCGTGGTCAAATGTGTGAAGTATATTGAGCGAAATTTGAATCCGGGTCCCATTAGCTGGACCGCTGAAGCCCATGAATTGTACCGTCTCCAGTTATTATCCTTCTGTTGTCATTTGTATGAAGTATTAGTTTCTTCAAAATATGAATGCGCATGTCACTAATCCTTTCAAATATATGCTCTCTCTCTTTGTTCCTCTTTTCTAGAATACTTAAAATTTTGTCGTTCAAGTTGTCCAGGTTATTTATACGATAAACCAGTTGTAATGAAAGCGCTGGACAATTTAATTGACAGTGAATTGATTATCTCTGGTAAATCAGCTGTCAGTGCATCATTTGGCTTATCTACGATGAGTGCTAATGATGGTGTCGTCGGTGGGTGTAAAACAACAACAGGTGGTTGGAATTCGTCTACAGGCTCTGTCTTACCAAATTATCGTCCACTATTCTGTTATGTTGACAGTGATATTTTATCCTCTTGCCTAGACACTTATCCAAATTGTCCAGTTGAATTAAAGCATTGGATACATTCGAGGACTTTTTAATTGTTCCGTTGTTGTTGTTGCTGTTGTCAGTGTATTCATGGTCTTGCTTTAGATTTTATGTTCTTTTTTTAAAAAAAACCTTATTTTTGATATAACATTGCATTTATTGTCCAATACTTGTATGTTATTATTGCTTTTGTTACATCGAAAGATATAAAATTATTTGTGAGAATACAAAATAATATTGTGTTATAAGCTACAGAGTGCGTCTTTTTGTTAAACACTTCCTGACAATGTTAAACTTTAAGCACCAGTAACTACCAATCAGCGAAAGACCTTCAACGGACCAATCACAAGGAAGAGGGACTTTTGATTAAGGAAAATGTATATTTATGGAAAAAACTGTTACATAGGGTATCCTAACCTAACTTGTGACAGAAACATCTCCCACTTTAGCATAGGAGAGTCAACAGAAAAGTTACACCATATTCTTTACATATATCATCCAAATGACTATAAATGAGATCCATTTGTAGCCCTAATCCTATTTTTTAATCTTCCGCGAAAATCCTTCTATAGAATTCGTGTGTGTCTATGTAATCGGATACACAAAATCCCTAGAATGGTTCACTCTGTGATGAACATATCCAAGAATAACAGCGAGTTGTAACCTTTCCATTCATCAGTATGTACAATGGATCCTTGTTTATTCATAAGTAAAAACACAGTTTTTGTTCAGCGAAGAAATTTCTTTTCAACGACTTCATTTTCAAGCTGTACAGTCGTATTTATATTACAGAAAAAGGTTATTAAGTGGCACTAAATAATTGCTCAGTCAATGTACGTATATATGTGATAAAAGTTATAAGGGGTAGAGTTGAAGTGGATGAATTACAAAAATATTCACCGTATCACTCTACTGCTAAATGGCTTGCGGAAATTCTGGAACCAGTTAGATTAAATCTATGTAAACATAGTCTTTCCGACACTTTTGACTTCGCCAGTTGTGTTGATGAAATTAATGTGACTGGTAAGCATATGATTTCGTTAGATATTTGTTCATTGTTCACAAATGTACCACTAGTAGACACTATCTGCTATCTATGCGAGTATATTGATTCAAATAGCATGAACATTGGCTTACCAACTGATTATCTTAAACAACTACTATTGAGATGCACACTGAATGTGCAATTTAGATTTAATGATGTCATCTACAACCAAAGGGATGGAGTCGCCATGGGGTCTCCTTTAGGACCGCTCTTAGCGGACGTTTTCATGGCAAGCTTAGAGAATGGCCCACTAAAGGAAACCATCGATAGTCTGTTTATGTATAAAAGATATGTTGATGATACCTTCATTGTATGTGATGAAAACACTTCAACTGCCGAACTTCTTAGAATATTTAATGGTTCTCACCCATCTTTGCTTTTCACGATCGAAGAAGAGTCGGATTCTTCGTTTCACTTCCTTGATGTTAAGCTAGATAGAAGAGAGAATGGAACGCTTCTAAGGTCGATTTACCGAAAGCCAACATTCACTGGGCAGTACACTAACTTCAACAGTTGGGTACCTTTAGGGAGAAAGAGAAATCTTATTCACTCCTTATGCTCCAGAATTCGTAAAATCTGCTCTGCAGAGACAATCGATAGGGAACTAGATAACCTTCGATCAAATCTCCTTAATAATGGTTATCCCACAAGGTTCATTGAACGTAACATCAAGAAAGAATCCACCCCGAGACAAGTCACAGTACCAAAGAAAAAGCTGTTTATGAGTCTTGCATTCAAAGGTGACACCATTTCAGAATTGATTAAAAATCGTTTATCTAAATGTATTAAACGCACTTTTCCTGCAGCTGACCTGCAACTAGTTTTTACCAGCCGAAATATGATCAGACAATGCGTCAAGGATAGATTACCGCTTTTGTCCACATCTATGTGCATTTACTCTTTTACTTGCTCTTGTGGAGCTGTTTATATTGGACGTTGTAAGCGTAATCTCCGAAAACGTGTAGCTGAACACTATCCGGTTTGGTTAATGAAAGGCGAACGTAGAACTGCAAAGTCGTCTATTTGTGATCACCTGTTAGAGTCTGGTCATTTAGCCCCACGTGATTCATCTTTCAAAGTTATATACATGGCAAAATCGAATCGATCCAAAAGTTTACGTTTTCTTCACTTATGCATAGCCGAAGCTTTAGCTATACATGAACAGAAACCTAAATTATGTGTTCAAAAGCGTTTTGTCAAACCCCTTTCTTTACCTTGGTCATAATAATGTTCTTTCTAGTTTTTATTTTATTTTACCACTTGAATTCTTTCCACTTCACTTCACATCTTCATTCTTATCGTAATCGTACTCCTAATTTTCGAAATTTTTAGACAACACTTGACATTTTTGTTATAGAACAATCTTTAATATTTTTGTAATTTATCCACTTCAACTCTACCCCTTATAACTTTTATCACATATATACGTACATTGACTGAGCAATTATTTAGTGCCACTTAATAACCTTTTTCTGTAATATAAATACGACTGTACAGCTTGAAAATGAAGTCGTTGAAAAGAAATTTCTTCGCTGAACAAAAACCGTGTTTTTACTTATGAATAAATGGGTATTTTTCGGGATCCCTGTTTCACAAGTCGAGTGACAATAGGTACTAAGGTGGTAAACTTTCTATCTGGTATTCTCTCGATGAATCCTTTTCGCAGGAAGGTGTCAATATAAACCGATCATGCAAACATTGTTGGCTCGCTCATGACCATGGTTATATTTTTTCTTCAGTAACACAGTTTCGTCCACGTGTACGACAATACCTTCTCCACCTAACAACAAAGTAATTCTCTCCATTTTCCATGAGGCGATCATCTCTCCTTCCTAAGCAACCCCAAATCCAGGCAATCCTCATCTAACTGCAAGTGTAACTTTGTTTGATATGAATCAAGCGCTATACAACCTTGAACTCGTGTGCATGAACCTCATTGGAACATTCGAGGTCATTCTCTGATTGGTAGTTAGTGGTGTTTAAAGTTTAACTTGGCCCACCTCCTCCTGCCACTTGAAGGCAATTCTATTCACACTGTCTTTAACGCTGCGGGGATGTTCCTCACAAACTCCTGACATTCACCACCAGACTAGTGGATGTGCTAGTCTATTTAGCGGAGCTGAAAAACCCTAAGCCTCTGAACCTACGGATGTACATGGGCTCCAGAATCTGAAATGGTGGAATTACTTATGAAGCTGTTTTTGGTCACCATTGTCAACAATGGGAACGTAGCTCCTGACATTGTTCCACTGCCTTGTGGATCAGACTTAAAGTTAGAGGTGGGGAGAGGAGTTCACCCCTTTAGACAATCACTTGCTTTGGTTTGGATGTCTGGGCATTATTCCAGCGGCGAACAAACTATGAGAAAATTTTTTGTAGCACACCTTGAGGCTATGAATTTAGGAAGTCGTGTGATTACCTTGATATGATTATGAGCAATAAATTGTGCTCGAAACGTCATCAGTAAACATTACTGTATAACACTGTTGTAGATTTCATTGTCTGGTGCCATGTTTTGGTTTGACCGCCACTAGCTCTTTTCCAACCTGACTCTATGTGAACTAACATTGCCTGTCGGTCGAGGAAGGCGATGGCTAGACATACGTAACACATGTCCTAAACATCTCAATCGATGTAATTTCACAGCCTTGTCTATTGATTTCCCCTGCTTACCTATCACTCCACCGAAGTCTAACCTCAGGATTGCTGACCTTACTATACCACTTTACCCGGGATATTGAACGCGCAACACACATACAAAAAGCATCACTCAATACAACTTCATAGCCTTTTTAATGAACTTACCTACTATATTGATAAAAAAAATTCACTCATTCGTAGGAATATGAAACCTAGAATTTTGAATAAAGCAAGAACAACAGTGGCGGTTTGTGGAGAATAATATGGTACCATCATCGCGTATTTCATTGACTTCTCATCAGCTCAACTGCTTACAGGCTAAATAAACTATTACTAAGTTTATGTACAGAAAAGTTTCAACATACTTGCAAATTTTACATGATTTTAGTTGATAGAAGGTTCCGGAATTAGTGAACAGTGCTCAGAAAATTACGCTTATATAATTTTTACACAAGCAGTTCAAGTTTAAAAAAGGTAAATGTATGCATAGAATGGTAAAGGAGTTACGTAGTAAAGACGAGAGATGCGTAGGGTGATGAGTGACTAATAAATTAGGTAACAATGTACTGAGTTCAACTCAAATCATAGAAACAAGAGACGAGGAAAATTTTACTAGATCAAAACGAGGGGTGAGGTTAAAAAAGCCAAAGATTTTTTTCCTTCACGTTCCACAGTGGAAAATACGGCTTCAAGTTTCTGTAGCAGTGTTTTTAATTTTACAGGATGGGGTTGCTATCCTCATGCCTAACCTTCCCTCTTTACCAGCATTATTTCTGGCTTAGCGAGGTAAAAGAATGCGTTGGCCGGGGATTGAACCCCGGACCATGTGCATGGTCGGCGAGCGTCCTAGCCGCTATACCACCGACGCAAAGCCAAAGATTACGTATTCAAATGTGAGGGAGAGATAGTGAAGACATCCAGTTACCAGGCTGGGCGAGGAAAGATTGATAACTGCTTCTTTCTGAACACGTAAATCTGATTTCAAGCGTTTGGTAGAAATACTTCATGGGTCAAGCAATCAGATCCAGCCACTTTGCGTCGTTTTAGATCAGAAATAGCTTTTGCAATCTCGAGTACACTTGGAGAACTGATGTATTCAACCTCATCAAACTGGAATTAGATGGTGCGATGATATCTGTAGAACAAGTAGACTTTTAAAAGCAGTTTGCTCAACTATTTATCCTGCTGAGGTATGTGACCTGTTTTCTTTATACGACTAAATAGATGAGTTCGGTGTCGAACAGGTAAAAGAGCCCCCCCCCCAGTGTTTAGTTTACTTCCATGTGGCTGGAAAGCACTGCTGGATGATGTGAATGGTATCTAGCTACTCATATTGGTGTATCAGTAATATGTAGTTAAGACAGGTATTGTCTATTGTTAATATCCCTTCTCTTCACATTCTCTGTCTGTCTACGGACCTTGCGAAAACTTCCAGTCAGCTTATTTTTGAGTGGCTTTCTGTCTATCTCATCAGTCTGTTAGTCAAATAAAAACTGGCCAACAGCAGCAACAACAGACAATAATCAGCATAAATGGGA